GATGGGAAAGATATTAATAAAACCAGGCAGTTTTCGGTACTCTGAATGAAAAAGAAGGAACACACAAAGCTGATTATAGTCAAAAGGTCCATGGCATAAGCAACAAATACAAGCCATTAAAGATTTTTCAAATGTTCTGTAAAACATGCAAGAAGACCAACAGTTCCATTATTCAACATCAGCTTAATCAAATCCTGTAAAACAGTAAAAGCATGTTGTCAAAGCTCAGAATATCAGAATGATCAAGTGAAAAGGCTTGAGAAAAGTCTACCATTAACAAAACCCTGGTGACGCAGAAGATTGGTATGGATTGCTCCGGGATGTAGTGAATTAGCAGTTATCTCTTCCCCTTCTTCCTGTAAATTCAGGCGATAGTGGCCCGACAATTTTGTATTAGATTTTTCCTATCGGTATAATGTGATTACCACTCACATTCAACTTAAGACATTTAATTTGTTCATATTTTGTGGTGGTAATCTTCAATACCAAACTGCTTAAATTGGTGACTCATGATGTCTGATAAAGAAAGTAACTAGAGTACAGCCAAAAAAAAAGAAGAAAGAGACCTCTATTATGATACTAGGTAAACAAAATTAAGATAATTTTAGGACATATTATGCTTTAATTACCTTCAGCCGCCTTGCAAGCTCATTGGCGTGCAATATGTTAGCGAGCTTTGATTGTCCATAAGAAAACCAACTAATAGAATAGGAAATTATCAGCCATCAGAAAGAGCAAGGAAGACAGATACTGCTGATGCTCGATGAAGACATTGAACATTTTATGTAGAAACTTCAAACCATAGGCACGAATATTCCTGCCATCAAGCTGTTACCTACCTCGCCTCGTTATAGATTTTATCGAAACAAATCCCTTCACGACTCACTATACGGTGACCTACTGATGATACATTAATGATCCTTCCTTCTTGCTTGCTTTTTTGTGCTGTATTTTTCATTATCTCCAATAAAAGGTTTGTCAACAGAAAATGACCTGAAAATCGCAGTATTTCAACCCCTACTTGGAATATCAACACATAAAATATTGTGACCGAATGTTTCAATGTTAAAAGTCAAAGAGAACATGCCTATATGGTTGGTTGCAAATAACAGCTCAATGTTATCTTCAGAAAGCTTGGAAGGAGATGACAGAACCCCTGCATTATTACTTCAAACAGGAAGGGAAAATATTACTCTTCGCAAGAAAGCTAGAATCTGCCTGTGAACATGAATTCTATTGCTAGCATAACAGGAGCATTCAACTGACTGGTGACGAACTTGCTATTGGATAAGATAAAAACTGCATTTTAATTGCTTCAGCACAGCTTCCTTACATGAGAATGTTCAAAGGAAGACCCAAGGAAGTATATTCAGATGCGAAATTCCTCACTGATGCCATTGAGCTTAGGTCTAACTCCATGACATCAATCTTAGCTTTGGGGATTTCCTTGAGCATTGCTTCTTTGCCATTCCTACCAGCATCCAGATTCCGCACTGCCATTACTACATGGACACCACGCAGTGCAAGGACACGCGTTGTCTCTGCACCAATGCCACTTGATGCTCCTGGAAATTAACAACAGATAGTTCTTTCATTAATGCGAATCTTGATCTGAAGTTAAATTAAATTCATTAAGTGAAAACTGAAGTCCTATCAACTCAAACGTTCATAAAATTTTCCTACATGTATCCTTAGACTAAAATCTCTAGCAAGGAAACTAGGGCAGGGTATTTGGCTTAGCAAGAAAATGAAGTAAAACCTGTAACAATGGCAGTAAGACCAGTTCCATCAATCCCTTGTGTAACTTCCTCTGCTGTAGAAGAGGCTGAGAACCCAGACGGCCCTTTCCATCCAAAAAGCCACATTCTGCTTATTCTAATAATGAAATCACACCAAACTGTTATATTGAAAACTGCTCTGCAAACCTCCAATTTCTACGCATCAAATGATCTTCGGATTATGTGACTATAGCTTGACTTTTGACAAATTCAAATGATCCAACTACAAGCATCTTTAAGTACACACTATCCTTAATTAAACCCATTTCATGGGTCATCAGTTGTTGGGTCTTGATCAACAATACTAGTGATTATCCAGCATATATAAGCAAATTCATTACTGTCCAAAATAAGGCTCCACATCATTATACATATGAAAGACAAAAAAGTCGATATTGTCTAGGGCAACTTTTCCAATCAATTTTGTGCTGTCAAATAAGACAGAAAACAAAATCTTCTCCTTGACAAGAAAACTTTGTTTAGCTGTACCGAAATATTCATTCGACTTTTCGATGGTAAAGTCCATTTCATTGAAAGATATGTTTTTTGTATGATATTGAACAGCCTAATAGAGCTTCATAACTCCAGCTTAGCAAAGCCTTTGAATTCCAATCACTTACATCCCACGATTTAAAAAAGAAGAAGAAGAAGAAAAAGAAACGATGAATTCATGTAGAGCTCTTCGGTTTTGTACATATCTTATACATTTGTTCTTTTTTAAAAGAACTTTTGAAGAAGTCCATTTCTTACCACTACTACACTAACACGCTAGCGTGCTCCAATGGCCTTAGGAATCCAAGTTCCAAAAAAAAAAAATTAGTAACTGTAGGTGTGCTCCGATTAATTTATATGAACCTTGACTGGCTCATGAAATTAATAATTATTTAAAGTTTTATTATATTTAAATTGATAATTTAAAAAAATAAATTTAAAATCTAACTAATTAAATTATATTCCTGATAATATTTCTGATAACATTTTTGATAATTAATCTAAGTTAATTTTTAATTCACGAGCATGGAAGTATTGTAAACTCTTTTTCTTGCATGATGAAAATTTTTGAATTGAAAAATTGACGGTGTATTTAATAAAATAAAATAAAAATTATATAAAATCATAAATAGTAAAAAGAGTTAAGACTAACTAAAATTCAAGTAGGAAGCTAAAAAATATATGCACATACAGGGATTTGATCTTGTGACACCGGTGCCTTTAATTTTAATTTTTTAATTTTATGTCAATAAAAATGGATTTTAATCATAAATGTAATAATTTAAATTTCCTAGAAAAAATGTAATTGGTAGTATAAATTATTTTTTTATTAATATATTTTCTAACCAAAAAAATTATCTTTCTTTAGATATGTTATTTATTGCATATAAAATATTATACAATAAACTAAAAGGAAATAATATTTCACTGTAAAAATGGTGATTTTATAATTATGTTTGGGACTTTGGCTATTTTGTATAGGATAGCAAGTAGCGTTACCATAGTGGTGGCACAATTGTAAATTTTGTTTTTTATTTTTTTATATAGAAAACTAGTTTTGTTTTTGGATTTTTTTTTATATTTATACTTGATATTTTTTATTATTTTACATTTGGCCTATTTATCATTATTTTTTTTGTCTTATCTTTATTTTTTGTAATGTATTTTTATTTTTTTTTCATTTTTTATTTATACTTGGCCTATTTATACCATTCCTTTTATTTTTATCTTTATTCTTTTATAATTTGTTTTATAATTTTTTTCTTTACACTTGATTTTTAAAAATTATTCTACACGGACTAAGAAAATGATGTTTCACTGTAACAATTGCAAAAATTTTCTATTTTTTAGCTACGTTAAAAATTAGTTCAAGGCCTTATATATTTTTATTAATGTATATAGTCTTTATTATATTTTATTATATATAAGTATTAACTTTGTGATTCACAAATATATTTTTTACTTGATGTAATAAAAAATATATTAATAATACTTACACATTAATTATTTTGCATTAAAAAAAATTATTCAACCTGTAGCTAGTGAGTTGAATAGAAGCATTAACACTTTATTTTTTATATTTATTGGCACAAATAGTTCTCAGTGTACTAAATTAAATGCATGCATAGACTTTTTTTTATTTATAATTAGAATTCTTTTTTAAAAAACAAACTTAAAAAATTTGCATATTTTTTTTCTCAAAAAAATTATTCGACTCATGGTGAAAGGCAAGTTAAATAACTAGTGAACAACTATAATCAACATATTTTAATAATGATTATATTTAGATAAAGAGTGTAAACAATCTTCTTTTTTAATCTATATACTTTTTTATTTGATGAAAAAAAGTGCAAAAACTAGCAAACTAATTTTGTATTATGACAGGTAATTAAAGGTAATAAATAACAGGAATTCTACATCAATTTTAGTTTCAAAAATTCACTATAAAAAAAGCATAAAAAAATATTTTACACAGATTTTCAAATTCTTCTTTACCTTAGTTTTTAGCTTACCTTCAATAGTTTTAAACTTGTTTTCCCCTCTCTTTTTCCCTTCTATATTATAGTTTAGGTTATGTTACTATTGAGAGAGATTTGAGCAATATTTCCTTCAGAGACATTTGAGCAATATTTCCTTCAGAGTAAGTCCTTATTTAAACGTGCAATTAAGTAAAGTTGTATTGCGGTCTTTGGAGGTTAATTTCATATATTTTGTGTCTGTGACCAATAAAATTTTAAGAATAAATTGATTCTTAATTAAAAAAACTTGTTAACTAAATCTAGTTTTAAATTCCTCAACAAATAAGTAGCTTACATATACATTATTTTTAGTTTAATTATGATAATTATCTTTATATACGATCTTGAATTTTAAATATTTAATTATATGTTTAGAATGCATAACAAGTTATATTTTAAATCCTTTTACAAGATATGGTTTTTTACGGTTTTTTACCTTGTTTCTTCAAAGTGCATGTAATATAAAATAAGCTACTGTAAATAGTGTTTAACATTATTATAATAACAACTACTTTTCAAAGTATTTTTTAGCTTTGAAATACATTAAAAAAAGTTATTTTTCACATTAGCATAACTAAAAACATAAAAATAAATAATTTAAATATAAATACATATAAAATACAATTTCTACCACGTAAATAGCCACTTGTCCAAATTTGAAAGAACACATCTTACGTCAACACCATTGTTGAATGGAATAGCTGGGGTATTCAAAACTAGAGATATGATTTGGATAACACATCTTACGTCAAAACCATGCACGTGGAACGATTTTATCCGTCCTGGTCTTACCAGGATGGAGAGACAAGATCATTACAGGAGCTCAATTGTCTTTGTACAGACCACTCCTCTCAAAACCCTAAGTTTCGACCAGTAAAGAGCATTCAGAATGGGGAGAAATACCGTTTAAACCGGCAAGACCTCCCATGAAGTTCCACCTAGCCCTCACTTTGTCAAGATGGAATGCAGGTGCAGGTCCTAATATCTGGCCGGTACTTGACAGGATATTTCCTGGAAAAATAACACACACCCTTCACTCTTGTTAACTGATGATAAGCTCTAGGTTAATCTGAAGGGCCTGGGCCTGCAGTCTTGACACAGTATTTCCAAGTTAAGCTTGACCGGGTGCTTTCCCACCAGCTTCCAAGTGGATGGGCAATAAACTACGAAATACTACAAACATAATTAAACAGGAAATCTTATTTTTCCGAGTCCAATTGTTGACTACGTTGGAGAAGGACATGGGGGCATGGTCTTTGTGGTTCTCCTTGTGCCCATAAGACTATGAGATCCCCTCTTTTCTAACCTAACGTCAGAAAAGTTCCTGCATCAACGCATGAGTTTTATTTATAGGGTCAAGTAAACACTAAACCATTTTGCCTTTTCAGATTGTTTTCCACTCTTTCTGTGAAAAAGAATTTACCGAGGGTGAATGGGACGATATATAGCAGTGCTGGCTGCCCATGGCCATCCATCAAGTTCAGTGCCACATAAGTAATGAGAAGACCTGCCACATTTCATGATTAAAAAGGGAACATGTAAGAGATAAGTGCTATTTCAAAATTCCAAAGCATATGAACAGCACAGCATTCCTCTTTATCCTTTCATTTTGAAATGCAATTTAGTGCTTCCAATAGAGAAAGGAGACTAGTTTGATAATTCCATACCTAATCCGTAGGCAAGCATTGCCCATAGGAAGTACCCAGCACAAAGGCTCTTATTTGCTGCCCAATCATACCTGCAAGAACAATTGATTTATTTTTTTTTATCATAGAAAATCTTGATGAAATTAAGAACTTGCAAGCTCAAAAGGAAGCCCAAGACCAAAGGTGGAGCAGAATGCCTCATCGTTTTTCTACTTTAAAACTGCCAGGAGTGCTTATTGAAGCTCAATCATAGGAGAGCTATTCTTTAGGTGCTATCTTTCTGTTGTAACGAACTGTATTCAAATATTTGTTTTGATTGTAACTAGCTTGACCATATTTTGTGGGATATTCTTTGTAAACCGTTTGGGATGTTTATGATCTATATAAATCCCATTCAATGTGTTAAATAATAAGATCATTTTTATTCAGCAATTACTTCTCTTAAGGTCTCACGGTGCTATTTTGTTTATTTGGAGAAAAAAGACTTGGCAGATTTGGATTCTTATAACTTGGAGAGCTAGAACTACTGTTGCAAATATTCTTATAACAACTTAGAAAGCTAGCAGCTAAAGTAAGCATCAGAGCTTTGAAATAGAACGGAAGAAGAAAAGATATTGCTAGAAGGTGAAAGCCCCAATTCCGTGATCCAAATTGCTGTAACTGCATTTTTCCCTGTCTTTTTATCCATTTTTTTTATTTTAGAAAAGAACAGTTTGCAAAAAAGAATTCGTTGATCACAGAAATATAAAGAAATTAGCTTAACCTGGAGGGAAATATGAGGAATAAACACCAGAGAATGCTAGCAAATATCAAGTTTACAAGTATACAAATAAGCTGAGGGTATACTTCTTGCAAAGACATGCCAGAGAATCATGGAGTGGAGTGTAAACCTGAGGGAAAATGCTATCAGCAACCCAGGTAAAAGGATGTCGCCAAACCCTATGATGCTGTAACCACCCCAAGGATCAAACAAGCGTGGAATCTTTAACAGCATTGGAATACCATTCTCTCCACTTCTATCACCACGAGCCACCTAAGAAAAAAGATGTGACCAATTTTTATACTTCAGCAAGTGAACATATTGATTATCAAAAGTCAACCAAAAGAAAAACGTGATGCATAGTAAAATTACCAGAGGATTACTTACCACAATCATGACGCTTTCATGGAACAACTTCTTGGAAACAAACACCCAAAAGATGTCATATAAGAATGCACAACTGAGAAGAACAGTACCCACCTGATTTACAAACATTTTCACTCATTTCAGAAGAACCACTAAGTCACCAGAAATAGTATCTGTCCTAAAAATTTGCTCTATCTAAATCGACGAGTACAGTTGAAAGAATAAAAGGATTGCATCTTTATATGAAATTATAGGAGATTTGAATGACACTATCACAACAGCAACCAAAATATCCAACTTTAAGTTAGTAATCGTGTAAGCATGTGCAGAGCAACACTAAAACAAAAAGGGTAATTGCTGGAGCTATTTGACTTAACAAATAGCTAATGATCGCCTAATTAGAAAGGTAATCCACTGCACACATACTAGGTTAAAAAAAAAAAAGCAATTAAGAAAGGATGAAAATGATGGGAAATAAAAAATCTAAGGGGCAGCCTATGCAGGCCCATTACTTGGTGCAACAGAAAAGGTTTTAAACTCACAACCACAAGGAATGATTCTTCCTCCCCTGCCTTGGCGGGGCCCAAAACTATTGCAATAACTTTTACTTATTAGCTTATTAGATTTTTTAAGAACATTACCTTGAGATTAGGTACATGGACAATTTGCAGAACAGTGACTATCAGTGCAATTCCCTGGTTTACAAACAAATAAAGGACAAAGGATTATTAGCTGAATTGCTCCACTAGGCAACTTCACCTAAAAATGAGATATACAAGATAGATTGTGAAAGGCCATAATGCATGCCATTTAATATCCATTTCATTTTGGAGCCATTAATTATTAGTGGGATTGGAATGGAAAGTACAGTAGATGGCACTGCTAAAGCAGCAACCAGAGAGAGAATTCTTTATAATCTTGATAATTGGAAACTTAAAAATTGCAGAAATCATTAGCCTATTTGGAAAGAAGGCGTCCTTACAAGTATATCTTGACCTATCCAGGCAAAGGAGAGATTGCGATGCATAGCCCAAACAACTGCAAATGCTAAGCAGAATGGAGAAACAGCTAATGTTAGGTACGAGAGAGCTCCAAAGAATGGTACTTTTATGTATGATTCTCCAGCATGCTTGAACCACCTGCACAATTATTGTAACTTTAGCTCCCGACCACTGAACTGGTAGAAAATACTTAGGTAATCCGACAGCAAGCATCCATGGATAACCAGCTCTATAAAAACTCCCAGCCATTAACTTCAAATACTTAATAACTTTTCATATAATCCCTCCCTTAACAGCTGCATTTTATACAATAGCATTTATAGCACTGGATTGTAATCACAAAATGAGCAAACAAAGTGCAATTTTCACCACTACACTACTTTTCTGGAAACCCACCAACCAATAGGAACTTTTAACCAACTATTGTAACCCAATTTTGACCCATTGACTTTTAATTTAATTTTACAAGGTTTAAAATGTAAAATTAAAAGATCAGAGATTTATTTTGATGAAAAGTGTGATTTATCAACCTGCGTGAAAACTAAGGACTATAATGTGCCTTTGTCATTCTATCCTTACCTTCAAGCTAATTCTTATCTTCTTCAAGATAATCCTTACCTTATTCAAGATAATCCTTATCTTCTTCAAGATAATCCTTAAGATAATGATAGTTGTCTGCTTTCGAATTCGATTATAATTCGAACTTAAAAAAAAAAAATGAATTTGATTGAGACTTTACTTCTAACAAGCGATGGGACTCTTGCACTATAAATATTAATCTCAGTGTACGAAGAAAAAAAAAAAGAAAGGAAGGAAAGGAAGGAAGAACAATTAGAGAGAAACCCTGAAAGAAGAGACCTTAAGAGAAGACCATTACTAGAAACCCTAAAAGAGAGAAACACAAAAAAGAAAGGGGGCGGCGAACCCTATACTAGCCACCGCCCCCTCAACCCCTTTATTGTTTAGCCCGGTCTCCCTCGACTTCTCTTCCAGTAGCTGCATGTCTAGGTAAGTTTCCTTCCTTCCTTGTTAAAATAATTAACTAGTCACTATTGCATGCATACATGAACCTTTCATGCATGGCTAAGCTAGATCCAACCCAAAAGGAAAAAAAAAAAAAAGTTAGCCGGGTTTAGGCTTTAGACTTAGCCGACCCACACTGTGTTTGTTAAGGGTGTGTTTAGCAAAACACACCCTTATGCCTTGGCCATAATTTTTATGCCCATTTTAGTTAGATATTTGGTCAAACAAGCCCTTTATAAATATTAGAAAATTTAAAAATATTTGGGAACCTTCATTGATTTATTTATAGGTCCCTCACATTTTGTTTTATTTTTTTTCTTGTGTTTGTATTTCTTGTAAATATGCTTAATCTGTGAACTATTACTGTTAAGCGCAAATATATCGTGTAATGTTTTTTTTTACTTCCATCTAAAAAGAGCAAATAATAATAAAGGATAAACAAGAAAAAAAGGACATAAAAAGTTTCTTCTTCAAATTCATTTTTTTGAAAATATTCACTGACATCAGAGTCAGAAGTATCGTATTTTTGGTTTTATGAGATAGTTACCAATGCCAGAGTTGGAAATATTTATAAGAATTGTTCACTAACGCTAGAGTCAGGAACATGAAAGGAAGAATAAAAAAAGAGAAAAAGGAGGACAAATTCTTAGCAATTTTAAACAAAATCAGCAATACAGCCTACCTTAGGTAGGATGTTTAAGGGGTGATAGCATCTTTCCTTTTGCGTAACCAGTCCCGCACCATAGAATCTCTGTTAACCAGTTAAGGTTTCTAATGATTATAATATTAAAGAATCTCTGTTGACCAGTTAAGGTTTCTAATGATTATAATACTAAGTGGCGACTCCTTGAACAAGACTTTTTCCCCTAAAAGAATAAGATGCCAGATATCTGTTCCTTTTCCAATCCAGAGATAATTTTTAATCTGTTGCCGCGATGTCCGGGTGTGACAAAGTTCCCCAAATCAAAGATTAAGAAATGGTTATGAGCAACTGAAATATGAATGTGGCTAGCAAGGAGTTTTAAAAGTGAAAAGATTTCAGTAACACAGTAAGTCATTAATAAATAAGAGACTAATTACAAACCTTGACAACAGAGCAACCAGGCAAGTTTGCAAGCCCTGCAGATGCATGAAACTACATGCTTAAAATTTATTCAGCAAAAGAAAAGGTTAAAAAAAAAAAGGGAAACATGAACAAACCTGGAACATTAGGATGTTCAGATGTCAAATAGTTAGATCACAGTTTGCATAACAATTACCACTTGTAAGCATGGTAATAATGCAAGTAGACATGTAAATAAATGGTTAAGTATTTGTTCTTGGGACCACCTTCATATCATGATTTCAGTGTCAAAAGGGAAAAGTCATACCTCCACACCACCTATGCAGAACAGGACCACCAAAAGCTCAATGAACCAATATGACATGAGTTCGTAAAGTATGACCAGGAAGCATGAAGCAATGACAACAAACAGGACAGCTGATGCTGTATTGATGTCTAGAACACTACTAACACCCACAGCTTTGTCATTTGGAACTTCATCCACAGCATCCTACATGAGGATGACAGAATCATAAATCAGCAAGAAAGTAGAAGTTGTAAAGAGAAAAATAACTCTTCATGAAGAAAGTGCTAAGATGATGCTATTTTGCAAATATTGTCCAAAAATCACCTTTAATAGCTTGTCCTGTTCGGCAGCTGCTTCTCTGGCAGTCCACGCAGACCAGTAAGAAGCGCACAAGATGGTAGCAACAACCATTAACCACAAAAAGACTTCGGCGACATCAACTAATGGTCGCTTTGGAGAGTAAAGCTGCACAGACACTGCAAACAGGCAATTATTTTTAGAAAACTCTCCCACAAGAAGGAAACTGCCAATATATGTACGCAGCACATCAAAGCAGAAAAGTATTCACCACCTAAACAAATGGACAATCATCTTCAGAAAAATGTAATATCCAAATGCAGGTAAGATGAAGTTAACAAATGAATTTGCATGTTACCCTGAAACCATGTGGACTATGGAAGAGAACTTACCTGATGTGTTAGTCAATAGCATTTTTTCCAAGCTTGCACCAGCATCTTGTGGAAGTATAATAGCAGGTATGTGTATATCTAGATCAGTTTCATCTGGCTCACAGACCATCTTGTAAAGTTCTGTAGAGAAGGGAAACAAGTTCCAGGCAAAATAAGCCACAAAATAAACCATTGCAATAGAAATTGACTTTGTATTGGCTGTCTTGACCAAGCAAGCATTGGTATAAGCAAATTGTCGGTAAATTCAAGAGAAGTTCCTCTTCCATGTCCATGAAAATTAAAAGGATGATGTGTTTAAAAGAGTTCAAAGAAGAATTTCACAGGCAAGTTCGTGGATGGAGTTCGAGCAGTTGTATATGCAATCCTAACATACCTATTAAGTTAAAAATGGCAGATTTATTGGGCTTTGGGAATTAACAAAACAATGTCCATAAAATGAGTGTAGCTAAAATGAAAAAGTTCAGACGGAAAAGGGATTGGACAGGATGGTGGAAAAAGATTCATGTTCCCAATAGCATTAAGAATTAGCTTATTTGATTGAGTTGACATCAGGGCTATTATCATTGTTTGCTGAGAGCTTCCATTAAGATCCCTACTGATAAGAAATGCAGCAAATATAGCAGCAAATACGCCAATTACCTTTTTGGTTATTGATAACGAGCACAGCTGAAGCACCAGCAGCCTCAGCATTATTTGCTTTGGTTGTGAACTTGCAGTGACCTCGGTGAACCATGATGACATCTCTATCAAGCTAACAAATTGAAGAACATTAACTTTAGCAAATGTCCATAGCATATGGATGAATTATACAACTATGTTCAAATATCTTGAGCATACATAATATTCGTCAGTATAAACCTTATGCTTAGGTGCACTACAACAATCTCGAGGGTCTGAAAGTGTAAGGCGAATTTGGTTTGCATTTTTCTCTTTTGACACAATGGTAGTGCCAAATCTAGCACCCACGCCAACAAATTCAGCATCCTCTTCTCCACCGACCCAAGTTTGAACTTTTACCTAAAAAACCAGCCACTAAGTTAACAGATAAATAATATGAATTCAGTCAGAGTCTAGAGCTAACAAAAGTACAATTGCAGACCCCGTAAAATCTTATGAAGGCAACTTTCCGACAAAACCAGATAACAAACGGTTGGCTCCAATGGAATGACCTAAATCAAAAGAAAGGTTGACATTTTCATTATTAAATGCTTTCCCCAATTATAGCTCATAATATAAGTACATTTGATGTAACCTCAGAAACCCAAAAGGGAGCCGAAAAGAGAGAAAAAGACCAGTACTAAATTATGGTCATAAAAAGGAAAGAAACCATCTTCCAAACTTTACTTTTAAACTTTTCTAAAACATGCAAAACGAATTCAACCCTAGAGGGCAAATCAGGCACCAAATCCAAATACACAGAACCAAAACCTCAACAAGATCACAAATTTACAAACTCCAACTTTTAAGGGATCACATTACTAGCTCCAGATCACACAAAATTGTAAAACAGAAACAAAATAAAAAACATCAAAAACATGTAATCATGTTAAAAAATATATAGTTAACAATAACCAATTAAAAATTTATACAATTTAAAGCTACAACTAAACCATAAAAAATACAAACAAAATACACAAAATCCAAGCAACGAAAAGAGAAAAGAATCAAAACCCGGTTGAGAAACCAGCACAGCAAGAACTGGGTCGATGTAAATAATCAGCATTTTAGATGTTACCAAAACGAAGTCATTTTCACAGCCAGGCTTTTTGGGAGCTAAGTTATCATCATGGACTATATCTCCTGCTCTAACTGAAGATGGGTGACACACCAGTGAGATCACACCTGTTATAGTGATTATAGAGCACAGTTTTTTAAAATCCATGGATTGATTTTAAGCTATCTTTCTTGGCGTTCTCCTCTTTCCCTACTACATAAATAAAAATTTTGCGCAAGAGAGAGAACAGAATCTTGTCTTGTTTTGTTCTGTGTTCTGTGTTCTGTAGCCGTGGTACGTGGTGTTTTTGGAATTGCGTCCGTGATTATTTTTTAAAATATACTAAAATAATATTTTTTATTTTTAATATTAATAATTAAAAACAATCTAAAAATAAATAAAATAATTAATTTAAAATTAAATAAAATCTCAAAAAAATACATTTTTACCATGAAAATAAGCACACTCATAGTAAATAATAAAATAAAAAAGAAGTGAGATCACAGACAAAGATCAAAACTACAATTAATATTAAACAATCATGATTAAAAAGATAATATTATTCTGATTTGTTTTACACAATTAGCAATCATGATACGAAATGCGTTTCATATACAGCCACCTTGGTATTTTTTGCTAAGTAGTAAGCCTAATTTTCCTTTTTTTTTTATTTTCCACTTCGTTTTTAAATTTTTTGAAAAATAAAAAGAAGACGATTTCATTAATATATTAATAATATCCAGCCGGGGAAAAAATTTAATTATGATATTAAAACTTCAATACATATATGATTAATACAAGATTCAAAATTTTCAGAGAAACATATTATCATATTTCAAATTATAATTAATTTTAAGTTTAATGACGTAAATGAGGTGAGAGAAAAAAATTATTTCTATTTATTTTAAAAAATAATAACTATCATGTTAGGAGATAGCTCTAAAATATGATTCATTGCTTATTATTTTATCTCACGTGTTAATCTTAAAAAAAATATAAAATAAAAATAATATGAACTAATTCAATTATAAAAAATAAAAAAAAGGTATTGTTTAACCAATTACAGTGACACAACTAGTTTTCCCATTCTTTAATAAATTAAATAATCATACAGAGTCAATTCTTGAAAAGTTTATATATATATATAAAAACTTGATTTTAAGTTAAGCATTATGCTTCGCCAAGTTTCAATTTGGTGGTTAAGATTTGAGATTTTTAAAGAATAAGCCCGCTGGCCAAATAAAAATCGGTTAAAATTCATTTTTTTTATATTTTTAGATTGTTTTAATATATTAATGTGAAAAAATAATTTTAAAAAATAAAAAAATGTATTATTTTAATATATTATAAATAAAGATATTTTAAAAAACATCGTACTGTTACTCTAATATTCTATTATGAAAAAGGAAGAAGCAGAAATGGCCTGGCTAGTCTTGAATTGTGCCCAATCACTTGGTGACTTGACGTGATTATCAATATTGATGTTAAACCTTTTACTTTCCGCGCCTGTGTGAAGGCAGATTTGATCCATCTTGTCACATAACTCAAGGTTTTGCTTGGCGGAGGAGAATAAAGTATTTGCAGGTTTTTCAAGCTTCGAAAGAAACAGGACACCTCCCTGGTTATTCCCTACACCTTCACCAGGCGAGAGAAAGTTGTAGTATTTTGCTGAATAAAGCTGGCACTAATTGATCAAATCCAAATGAAAACGAGATAAAATATTCCTATTTACCGACTATACATAGTTGCAGCAACCATGCATCCTGTTTTTGAGAGGATGGCATTAAAGAAGAAATCAATCTCAAATATTCCGTTTTCTTGCCTAGTGAGTGTAGTTGATGCATTGAAACCTCAGATACCCCCCATCATGGTAAACACAGATACAAAGTAAATTGAAAGAGCATCCCTCATCTAACTTGTGCCCATGTTGAAAACAATATAAATCAACTATCGAATCTAGGATCTTCGAAAATGTCAAAATAGTTCTCTCTTACATCTGGTAAGGATTGAAACCAGGCAAAAAACAATATAGATATGTTTGGTATCTTGTGATCCATAGTTAAGTGCAATTTTGTTTCCGGCTCATTATTCACCTCGAATGAAAACTATTTTGGGAATTGATAACCATCTTGGTATGACGTTAGTCTACCATCAGCTTTGTAACTAGAATGGTTGAGGAAGTTGTTGGCTATCAACTGTTCTGAGAAAGAGTAGCTTCCCCCCGGAAGCCTCACGGCTCCTCCATTCATGGTCAGACCTGGGGCGCTGCTTTCACGAGCTAGATTTTGCAAGCTGACTTGGGTTGGGATGTTAAAACTACTATTTGCAGCCTGAAGAAATGGAACTGGGAGTCCATTTCCAACAATTGATGACATGGTGCTGTTTTGGTTGAAGTAACTGACGTCTCTGGAACTCATTTGAGCAAAGCTTCTACTTCTTTCTTCTGGCTGCATGCCCTGAAAGTATCCATGAAGACTGCTTGAACCTAGTATCAGATTCGATCTTTCTGAACTCATGCCTATTTGATTCCCAGCAAATCTTGGTTGAATAGAGTTCAATGAAGATGTATCAAACCTATGGTTTGCTACGTGAGGCTTTGTTAACACAGTAGGCAGTGTTAAGTACATTGAAGAAGCTACCTGATTGGAGGAGCCAGTTGGAATCATTGGCTCGAAAGTTATTGCCAGCCTTTCTCGTTTGTTCTTCTTGCTTGATGTCACGGATCCAATCGCTTGGGCATAATCAGATTGATGTTCAGGTGCTTGATGGTGATTATTAGAATCAGTAATTTTTCTGCCTTTTGCAGACCTCTCTAAAGATCCACCATTGCATTGAGCTCTTATGCCCAACACAATACTCTTTGGCTTCTGCACTTGCACATTCTTATCTGAAGGACTAGGTTTAGAATTCATCTTGGCAGATAATGCCATTCTTTCTTCTCTTTCCTTCTCAGTTGTTGTCATGGGTACAGTTGCTCGGCTAATATGACTATCCAATGTTAGACTGCAATTACTAGAATCAGTTGATTTATTGGTTTTGCCAAACCCTTCTGTAGATCCATCATTGCAATCTTGAGATCCTTTGAACAATCTGAAGGCATTTCGATGTTGCAGGAAAATGTTCTCCAGAAAATTCTTCTGATGATGCACTTCGGGGTTCTTCTGAAAGTTGATTAGGTTCTGCCTATGGACATTCTCCTCAAACTTATTATGGGGCTGCGCTTGGCCATAGCCCTGAATGTTGTTATGATGCTGGGCTGGCATGTTCCCGGAAGTGTTTTGGTGCTGAACTTGTGCATTCTCCTCTAAGCTGGTTTGAAGCTGCAATTGAACTTTCTCTCCTCTAAAGCTGCTTTCTCTTTTTTCCAGCTCAGAAACAGTCTCCTCTTCCACCAATTTCTGCATTTCTTCCCTCATCCACTTCAACAAATTCTCTCTTGAAACTTTAAGATCCTCTAATAAAAAGTTCATGTACTTCTTAAGATCATCAAATACAGCATGTTCATGAGTAATAGGTTTACTATTCTTACGGCGGACTTCTCTGTGAGGGCCCTTCTTCTTTTCATTAGGAGTTGAATCATTCTTTTTACTCCTCCTCCTTCGGCCATTTTCAGCTTTCCCAGATTTCATTTGGTCTGAAATACCAGGATCACAGTTGCCAATCTGGTGCAATTTACTAGCATCACTAGTTTCATCATTATCAACTGAAATGAAGTTCGAGATCAGTTTGTGTTTTTTTAGAGCTGGTTCGCCACTTGGTTTTGAATCATTGCTTGAAGAGTCAGAGTCATCGTCTTTCCTCCTAAACTCCCAGCATTGCTGCAGTTTCAGTTGCTGTGCCATTTTAGAAATGGGGGACATCATGAAAAACCAGAATTTTAGAAATAACTTGGAGGATGTTGAATTATCAATGTTATTTTTTCATCCCCTGGAGGATCACAGCACCAATTCCTGCCCACGTACCATCAAGACTCCATGATTTTCTGCAAAAGCTGCTAGACAATCAAAAAGCCCACCAAACTTCGACTTCAACTCATTAAGCAGGAACCTGACTACATTGAAACTACTTCAAAGTGAAAACAAGTTTATCAAACAAAGAGCAACCAATAATCAAAGATTAATGAATTCAATGACTTCATGGATTCTCTGTACTTTCGAGATTCTGTAATGACTGATGTGATGAAGACCTGGACACTAACTACAGGCTCAATATCTACAGAAGCACAAACCCATGTGTAAAAGAAAGAGCACAATCTTGATCTTTAAAGGAACAAGTACATAGTTTCAAAATCCCTACCTCACTAAGGTCTGAGATGAAAACCAGCAGAAAAGAAATCCAATTTCTGAACCTCAAATACCTTTCAATGAGGCAATAAAGTTCAAATGAAGGCACAAACTTGCATAGCAAACTGCTATTTTATAAAATCCATAATCAGAAAAAAAAATGCAGAATAATGCTTCATTCAGAGTTTCAAAAGAGAGATTAACATAGCATAACAAAACTTGTGAACAGATACTAATCAACTTATAGGATATATCTACCATCTTTTATGTTGGTCTCATAAACCCAGAAAAACAGAACAATGCAGAAAAGAGCTTCAAACAATTCCAAAATACAAATATAATGTACATAAAATCCACAAAAAAGAAAACTGGATTCAAAGTCATTCTCTTTTTCATGATATTGCATACAGAAAGAAAAGAACGGAAAGCAAAAAAGAGCATTAACAAATAAAAAAGATTCGGAATAAAATCATCAAAGCACAAAGTAGAGAGTTTTTCATAGATGGACACAAACTCACCGTGTAACAAGCCAAGAAGATGCTTCTCTCTCCCTCTCTCTCTCTGTCAAACATCAACCTCTAAGTCCCATTTCTTTCAGTAGAGCTGTTTTCACTGTGGCATTTATATCTCCATTCTTTCTCTCTTTAAAAGGCAAGAAAAGATATGTTTTTGTCTGTCTGTGTAGTGTTTCCATCTGTGCAGTGTGAGTGTGTTTTGCTGTTTATGGAAGTGAGTCAGTGAGTTGGGTGGTAAGTAGCAGAAAGAGTTATGGGTGGCATTTTGACCCCTTTTGTTACTTGTGGATGGCCATTGTAAACTGTCTTGTTGAGAAAGAGATAAATTTGTCTTTCCATGTAAACTGGCTTCGTATCTCCAAGCCTTGTAACTTCCATGCCATCGGACTTACTTCCATCTTACGTTCAAGTTACAGCTGGAAAGATTGATGGGATTTTTGTATTTATTGATTATTTAAATAATTTGGCAATTATAGAGAAACCCATTTAATGTTTTCACTATATTGTGCGGTGATGTTATAAATGGTTTCTGTGGACAAATTTAGAAACGGATAGCATGTTGAATCAAATATGGCTATGGAATATTGTTTCTCCTCTTACTTTTCTTCAATCTGGAACTTACAAGAGCTGTAATTTGCAAATACTTACAGTTTCAGTATATATAAATAGAATAACATGGCGTAAATAGAGAATCACCAAGCGCATTTGCACCGAGGCATTAACTTTACATTAATATTATTAGAAGCAGTGAGAAATATCGAAGAAAGAAAACTGAAATTTACAAATATATTTCTATATAGGGATTTTTTTTTATTATTTTTTATAGATCATGGATTTGATTTTCTTCATTTCTTGTATCTGTTTTTTCTTAATTCAAGTAAACTCTTAAAAATAACTAGTAAAATATCATTAATTACTTCTTAAATATCATAAAATTTCTTGTGATGAAGATGTGTCGAGCTAGAAATTATCATTTGGAGCCAAGTTGAAGATGAAAAACAAATGTATATTTTAATCCACGGGGATATTCAGCCAATTAAACTTGGAATCTCAAAACTTCCAAGGGCGATTATCGGTTGAGGAAGGGTAATTCTCATAACCCCTTTCCTTTTCCCTTCTATTCTTCTTGACTTAGCATTGCTTGAATAACAGGTTATCGAATCGTATTAGCAAAATGAAATAATTTGAATTTCCATGGAGACAACGATGATTGATGAGTACTAAATACATTTCTTGATACTACTTTAGCAAATAGTCCAATATAAAAAAGACATCTATAATTAACAACAATCAGATCATTAAGGACATTTAAAAAGTGCAAGGCCTTGTTCTGTCAGGATCATCATGGTGGGAAGACAGATCACATGCACTCTACCTCTATCAACCTTCGGGCATATATTCTGATAATTAATCATGATTATAACTTTAGCATTTGTTAATTTTCTGACAGTCACTGTATGATTGATGAGAAAAAAGTTTATTATCGGGACTAAGGAGTCGTGGGATGAGGCGAAGTGAAATTGCTTGGGAGAGACAAGGACCTCATCGTTTTTTTTTATTTTTCCAGCAAATACCATGACTCGCTACGGTTATACCATTAAATCTAGTAGCTGCTCATCTTCCCAAACTGGCTCAACAAGAAGAGGAAACGGGCCATTGAAATGCACCACCATATCATTATATAGGATTCGAAACGTCGACAAAATAAATTTGGTAATACTAAAAGGAACATCGAAGAATTCCTCGCGGATGGCATGTAATCAGTGCTATATGTCCACGAAGTCCTGCGACATGCTTACAAAATTGTGCTGACACTTCAGATCTTTCAGATTCCTATCCAACATGTTTACACCGCATATTTTAGATTGCACAAAGATCATAAAAACAGGCAGGACAAAAATTATAGCTTTTACAAACTCATTCAAATGATTGCACAGGGAAGATCTTACCAGTTACCTAACCCTCTCTGAAGGTTTCATCAAGAATTGCACCGTGGAGATCTTACCTGCCACAAAGCACTCTCTTCCTTTGGACAATTATCGTTAGGAATTGAAGAGATATACTCTTATACAAGAGGGGGGGAAAAAACAAAACTACTGTTCCCTTCGCCACTTTGGATGGGCTTGATAATACCAATTCTCCTCTCTGAAACCAAATCAATGGCTTTCTGGTAACCTGTGGCAGCAGAGGCAAGTTTTTTAAAAAAAAACGCATGAGATATATAAAAATGTTATTTTCTTTTCCATATACTTCGAGTTCTGACCAATCACATGTGACAATCAATAAACAAGAGACCAAGAAAAAAAATTTCTTCTGATTTGGTTGTTACTCTGCACATGTCGCACAATCACATTGAGTGTTTGAGATCCTAAATATCTTTAGGAATGATACTCCCCGTCTGATTACAAGCATTGAAATCAGAAAAGATTTTAAGAGATGCAAGTTGGAATGAGACTCCCAAATGAACACTTCCACATAGGCATGAAAGGAGAAAGAAATGTTGAACCATGAATCTAAATTTCTTTACATAATAGAATGGTACTTCCATGTCCCAGTAATCCACAAAGTATCAGCAGCTTGTTATAAACAGGTTAGACAAATTTCACAATTGGTCCTTGACAATATGAGAACAATCAAGACCAAGCTGCGTTCTTATTAGTATGTCAAAATAACAGGGAATTAACTTACCGCCATGGGAATTCACTTGTGTCTATCCCAGCTTGGTGAAGCTCGTCAACGTGCTGCTACGCTTCCCTGCACTCTTCCCAGTCGTCAAAGAATTCTTTTTTGTCACCTTCAATCTGATATGTTTCATGGCCTTTACCAGCAACAACCTGCAGTTCAGAGAACATTCAAGAGACAAAATGCAAATAAAATTACGGTAAGAATAATTTTGAGGAGACAATTCAGTTTTTCATTGAATAATACTGAACCATCTGTCCATAAATCTTCAACAAGAGTAGAGAAATGGGCATAAACACTTACAACCATATCGCCTTCTTCACCCATGGCAACAGCACAACGGACAGCTACTCGTCTAATGTCATGCAAAAACAGACGATGACCGTTTGGAAGAGGAGGGTAGTAATCATTTTCCCCATGTTTCAAATATTCCTGCATAGACCATCCTACGCCAGCCAACATGTCATCCAATATGTCCACTGATGAAGATGAAACGAGTTAGTAATAACTTTAGCAAAGATGGCATTTTAGTTACACAGTACAGTTCAACATGCATACATGGATCTTCGCCCCTTGGATTGTCAGATGTCAGAATTGTGACGTCACTTTTATCTGTTGCAATTTTTGTCATTATTGGTCTCTTGCCTCTGTCTCTCTCTCCGCCACAACCAATAACTTCACAAAAAGCAAGAAGTTGGTCAGGTTAACAATACTTACATTTCTTCATGAAACTCATCACTTCCCAGCTATCCCAACTGACATGGCAACTTTATTGAAGTGAATTGGCAATTTTCTCTTCCAACAACAATCAGAACCTAATTCTAACTTGTCGAATGTTGGAGAAAATAATAAGATACCATGAACAGATCAGGACTAATGTCAATACTGGAGCTTCCAAATCCCAATTACATCTTGAATTCTCAGGATTATGATTATCTTCAGCAGTTTTGGACCTAAACAAAGGATCACTACTAAATCACTGTATTTGCACTGCCAGACTTGGGAGAATTATCCACGAGTGGAAGAGAACATTTAGCTATGGCAAGATAGATGGTTGACATCAACTTAAATCAATATATCATTATTAAAGAATTAAGAGAATCAATACGACAAAGCATATTTCTAGCTTGAGAATTTCCTGTGCATATAATACTCAGCCTAGCTTTTATCACTTCCTTGTAGCAAATGGTCCAAAGACTTTGTACAAGGAAAAGGACTTTAAAACGCCTTATCCAAGAATAAAGCTAGAATTATCACAAACTTAGAGAAGTAGCACTGAATGCGTGATGAAGGTTAGGAGAAAGCAAAAGAAACGCACCCGTGATAATTCTTTTAGGCCTAAGCTCCCTTACGGAATCAAGTAGTCTAGATAGGGCATCAGGTGTATGAGCATAGTCCACAATCACCCCAAATGCCTGCTCCTCGTCAATTAATTCACACCTACCAGGTACTGCATCTATCTCTTCAATCCCTCTAACAATGTCTTCCAATGGTGCACCAACTGCAATCCCAACTGCCACAGCCGCAAGAATATTGTAGATATTGTGCTTCCCAAGCAATCCTGATGAAATCTCTAAAATACCATGGGGTGTATTAACCAAAACTTGTGTCTCAAACAGGGAGAGCTCAAACTTCAAGGGATGAACATCTGCATTTTTATTTTCCATAGCAAAGGTCACAACTGGCACCTCTTGGTTTCCTTGAGCAATAAAGAAAGGTGCATTTGGATCATCAACGTTAACTACTTTCCTATGCCTTTCTGGATCCACCATCCGAGCAAACAACTTAGCCTTTGCATTCTTATACTCCTCTTCTGTCCCATGAAAATCTAAATGATCCCTCGTCAAATTGGTAAAAACAGCAATATCAAAATCAACCTCATCACACCTCCCTAGAGCCAGTCCCTGGGAAGTAGCCTCCATCACAACAGCTTCAGTTCCGTTATGCAGCATCTTAGCCATCAAATTCTGAACCAAAATGGCACCTGGGATTGTGTTAGGTGCCTCCAGTTTATGATCCCCATGTATATAATATGCCACCGTACTCAACATTCCAGTCCTCAACCCCATTGCCTCATACATCCCTTTAACCAAATTCGCTGTCGTGGTTTTCCCATTCGTCCCAGTTATCCCAATCACAGCCATATTCTTTGAAGGGAACTTATAAAATGCTGCAGCCAATGCAGGCAAAACTGCATTAGTATCCTCCACAATCACCAAAGCCTTACACCCCAAAGTCTCTTCAATATCAACCTCCTTGCTAGCCACAACCGCAACTGCACCTCTCTTATCAGCCTCGCTCAAATACAAATGTCCATCCGTCTTCATCCCCACACGACAAACAAACAAATCACCAGCACTCACCACTCTCGAATCATCTTGTATACCAGTAATCTCCACCTCCAAATCCCCCAATACCGAAACCGGCACCACTTTGCTTTCATCCAAGAGCTCAGCTAAACTCATCCTAAACTTTGGTTCAACAATATTC